CCAGCTCGCGGTAGGTGAGCTTGCCATCCCAGGAGTCGACAGCAATGTTGCTGGGATACATGCAAGCAATCTGCTCAAAGCGACGGTGCAAGCATTCTGACTGCTTGACAGGAGAGATCGCATTCCACTGTGCGAGGGTCGCTAGGTCCGCTGCGCCGACCAAGTCGATATCTTTCACGCGGCTGCTGGGGCTTATGGAAAAGACGCGCTCCACGACGTGTTGGAGTTGACTCAAGATTAGTTGAACGCGTTCGTAACTTAGACAAGTTTCATCCCAGTTCACCTCAAGAGTGACATCCTTCTGGTTGGCAATGGTGCATCGCAGACCAAACGCAAAGGAATGGAAGGCCACTCCCGCTCTTCTGCAAGTTTCTTGAAGCAGACGAGAATGCGCCTCCTCGGAGTCATACTCAACGAGAAGCAGAGATTGGACATCACAAGCAATACGAGCGTCCTCACTCAGGCTGCGGATGTTCTGCATACCGTAGTGCTCCAGCTCCAGCAGGGTAGCAGATTGAGCTTGGAGGTCTTGGAGGAACGTGCGCAAGGTCTGATCACGCTGCAACTTGACTCGCACGGGGAAAGTGGCGATTGTTGGCGCCTTCATCTCCTCAATACCAGAAACCGGGGCACCACGTCCATTGCTCGTGTTTGCGAAGACGACATCATCTGAGCCGACGAAGCTGGCCAAGAGCAAGGCCCATGCCGCACGGATCTTGATCGCAGCTGGAATGCCAGATTCGGTGGTATCGTGAACTGTCGGCAGTTCAAATTGAAGGTCCACGAAGGCGTTTGGCTTGGGAATATATCCCCTGGGGATCTCAGGGAAAGGTGTCAGTGGAGCGGCATCCAGTTGTTGCTGCCAGCCGTCGCGCATGGTATTCGCATCAATCTGTTGAAGATGAGCGATCAGTCCCGCGAAATTGGGACTCGATTCGACGGCCTCGTTACGGTAGGCGCGATCGAAATCCCGCAGGAGTAGGTCGAGGGACCAGGCATCATGAACAGCATGGTGTATGGTAAGTGCAAGCACGGGGCCAGCTGTAGGATCGTGGACCACTGTGAAACGACTCAGCGGCGCTCCCAATGACATGGGGGTCTCGAGATCGCGCTGAAGATAGGATTTCACCCCCTCTGTCACGGTTGTCCACTGCAAGTCTTCCTTGACGATAACTTGCCATAGATCTGCAGACTCGTCTTCAAAGATGCGGGTGCTCAGACAGGGCGCGCTGCGCTGAGCCACGGTATTCCAAGCCCGCATCATTTGATCCACATCAATGTCTGTCAACTTGAAGATCTTCTGCACGAGGTACAGGCCCGGTGTCTTGACCGAAAGGGCGATCAAACCCTGCTGCAATGGCGACGCAGGGAAAATATCTTGAATGGTGTCAGGCTGGATGTCGCATTGCCTACTGGCGCATTCACGCAATTCACCCAGGCGATTGTCCACCAAAGCAAAAGCTTCAAGATCAAAGCATCGCGAACCATCCAGAATTTCAACGGCAACTGCCATATCAGACAGGATGGGATTCGCGAAAATGGCCTGAACCGTAAGGCTCAAACTTTCGGCACGACATAGGGACACCATCCGAATAGCGGCAATGGAGTCACCACCCAGGCTGAAGAAGTTTGCAGACGCATCACTCAACCGGTCGATTCCAAGTACTCTTCGCCAGACATCGCAGAGCTGAGCTTCCATAGCCGTGGATATAGGGAGTGTTTCCTGGGGTGTGCGGAAAGACGCAATATCCTGCGGTGTGAGAGTGGCCGCGAAAAGGCGCAACTTCTTGCGATCGAGTTTTCCAGATGCTGTCAGACTGAATTTCGTTGACAGAGGGAGGAATACCGTCGGGACCATGTACACTGGCAATGTCTGGGCCATCTCGGACTCGATGCGCATCGTCAACTTTTGCCAGCGTGAAACATCATCCTGTGCAGCGAGGGAGACCTCATCGACGTTGTTCGTTTCCTGGGGTTCTTCTGGGGCTAGGAACACAGCAAGTGCATCCGAAGTTGCTCCCTGGAGGTGGACGACGTCGACGCAGAAGGCTAGGTCTGGTAATACCAAGGGTTGCAGGTGATCCTCAACCTCCTCAAGCTCCACGCGCTGGCCTCGAATTTTCACCTGAGTGTCAATACGAGCAATGAACTTGAAGGTTCCATCAGCGTTGTACTGGGCGAGATCACCACTCTTGTAGAATCGCGATGTGCTGTTCTGTCGGAATGATGGCGGGTCGACAAAGGCCTGCGCAGTTGCGGAAGGGTTGTTCAAATACCCAGCAGCGACCATAGGACCCTCTTGGAGAAGTTCACCAGGAGTCCCAATGGGAACCAGTTTGTTATAGTCATTGGGATCGACAACCCAGTTCATTCCTCCTTGGGAAACATGGATTGTGCTCGCAACGTCCCCGGCTGTGAATTCTGAGAAACCGCACATACCCGCCTCCGTTGGGCCATATCCAGCGATGACCCGCTTGTCTGCGATCCAAAGATCGAGGAGATTTTGGGAAATGGCTTCACCGCCCAAATAGAGGGTGTCAAGATCGGGGACCTCGCTTGGCGTGAGAAGCTTGGCTACGGTAGGTGTGGCGTAGAGGTATTGGATACGCATCTCGCGCATGACGCCGGCGAGGTCATTCATGCGCTGCTCCTCTGTTGGCACACACACAATGCAGCCGCCAATGAGAGCTGTCATGATCTCGTAGATGGAGTGATCAAAGTTGAATGACGAGAACTGCAGGATTCGGGTTCGCTCAGGGATCTTCATGCCCGCTGAGTGAGCGACGATGGCCGACGCCAAGTCCGTGTGTCGCATAACAATTCCCTTAGGTGTTCCCGTGGATCCGGAGGTAAAGATCACAACAGCGGTCGATTGGGGATCCACTGCTGGCAGTTGTTCTTCCTGTTCTGGAAGACTGTCGAGCAGATCCTGGTTGACGGATACAACCTTCCCGACGCTTCCTGACATCTTGCTAACCCAATTAGGCGAAGACAGGATGCACTTCGCATCAACTTGAGTAAATATTTTCTCAAGGCGCGTGATAGGTTGCGAGGGCTCTGTGCCAATGTATGCAGCGCCAGCCTTTAGCACTGCCAGTTGGGTGATGGGTACAAATTTGGAACGATCGAAAGTCAAGGGCACGCAGCTACCGCGCCCGATATGGAACTTGCTCCGCAAGTGATGAGCCAATTTGGTTGATGCTGTGTCAACCTCTCTATATGTCAAATCTCCGTCCCAAGCTTGCACAGCCAGCTCGTTCCAGCGCTGGCGACATGTATGCTGTACCATTTCATGAATGGTAGTCTCTGCGGCAGCAGGCATAGGTGGGCTCCATTGCGCAATCTCAGCGCGATCCTCAGGGGAGCACAGGTCCAAATTGTCGATTGTGCATTCCTGTGACTGGAATAGCTGAAGTAGGACGTGGGAGAACTGGTGGACGATGCGGTCCACCTGACGAGCGTCCAAGAGGTTTTGGTCAAACCGGGCAGATACCCGGATCGTGGTAGGTGTCGTGTATAGAATAGCCAGAACGAGAGCGTGGTGTTGCGGAATTGATTGGTTTTCGTTGATGCTGATCACAACAGCGGTTCGAAGCGTTGTATCGAACGGAGCTTCATCTTCGTTGTCGATTGTGTTCTGGACCAGCTCAAGCAGGGTTGCTGACTTCATTCCCGCGTCCCAGGTCACGCGAAGCGCTCTTGCCGAGCTGGTCGCCTCGCTGGAGACGCCAAAAACGACATCTGTTGTCAAAGCGGAGTATCTTCCAAGAAGCACTGCCCAGGCGCCAATCAATGAGGCTGTCGCATTTGCCTGGGTAGATTGCGAGATATCTACCGACTGGAATATACTGTGACTGCTAGCCCACGGTTGATAGACCGACGTGGGCAGCACAGGGAAGATCTCGAGCTGTTGCTGAACTCTTTTCAGCGACTCGTTGTCGGATGACTGGGAGGATTCCACCTCGCTTTCGCTGATGCTTGCAGAACTCGACCCGGTGGTAGATTCCACGGCCGTGGCCTCCACAGCAGCAGCTTTCATGCTGTCCAGAGGCATTTCATTGGCAATTATTGAGGCCATAGCAAAACCTCGTACGCAGAAACTTGTGTAAGTGGACAGACTTGATCAAAAAGAACTATAATACAGTATAGTTTGTACAAAAAGCAGAAAGTCACTCTTGAATTTTACTTAGCAGGAATCTATACTAAGGTAATGGCCCCCATACAGCTATCTCACTCTACTCATTGTCGCTATCACCAGAGCCCACTCGTCGCATTGTAGAAACACTGAGCAGTGGTACCACCATCGACACCACCGAAAGCTAGCTTCAACTCTCAGTCCGCATGCAATACAGTGGATGTTCGGCAAACAAAGCCTATCAATGGGTGATCAAGAGCCACATCCGTCGGTGGCCTTGGGGGCGGTTTCGTGCCATTCGGCAGATGCCAGTGCGCCAGTGTAGCCATACATCCAGCGGGCTAGTCTGCTCACGCATCCTGAAGGCGGAAATAATTCAAATAATTCGGTTCAATAGGAAATATCTACCGACGCCACCAGAAGAGCTTACTATTACATATGCACGGTTTTTATCGTAATACGCTCCTGAGGCCCTAGGCTTATGCCTTCCACAGCCAGATTTAAATTGCATCTCATCTTGATCCACCAGCGTCGAATCTCTGTTGCGCCCTGCCTAGTGTCCACCTGGGTTTCACATAAGCCAAGGCAGACTTATTTTTAACAGCCAACCAGTGTGGCCATCCGTGGGGGCCAAGGGGCCAAGAATCAAAACGTTTAGGTTAACCACGCGGGCATCAGGGGCTAGCCAATACTAAGGTCCATTGTTTCTTAGTGACCGTACTTGAGACCTGCATACATCTGTATATATCACTGTTGGGGGAGTTTTCCAAACCCCGATACTACCTCCCGCTACCCAGCAGCTTTATAGAACCTAGAGGGCTGCAACTCACGCCATTCTTCGGTCATTTTTCATCACAAGTTCATTATGGACGATCTTACAATGCCATATGCCAAGGCCAGCCCTACATTTCCGACTCGGCGAGATCGCATGGCTGCTGCCTTGCGTATGCTGATGGCCCATGACGATCTTGATCCGGAACTATTGCGGCCTGGCTCACAGTGGGTGGCCGCTGCAGATGTGATGACGCCGAAACAAATCTTACCTCACAATGCAACAGAGCAAGCACCGGTAACGGACTTGCACTCAACAATCTTGCCCGTCGATCCTGCATTATGTGCAGGATCCCCATATCCCGTTGACGGCCCGGACGGCCCATGGCAAAACTGGCTGGGCGATATCACAACGGCTTCTTCATCTTCAACCACATCAAGCAACTTACCAAGCTCATCCGGGAGTGATTTCATGCTAAGTGGGTGGACCCGCTCTGAGATCTCTTCAGCTCTAACCGAATGTTTAGATTTAGGATGGTCTCTCAACGAGTGGGACGTAATGCTCAACTCTTCCGAATTCGACAGCACTAGCACCGCAAGTACCCTACCAGATCCCGTTGTCGGGACACCACAAATAAGCCCAGGGCCTCTTCCATCAAATATAGGCGATGTCGCGATGCAACCGCCACCAAGCTTTCCATCAGCCGAGAGGCGACAGCCGGAAGAGAGTACGGGCCAGCGATCGACAAAGCGTCAACGCGCACACTACGTGATCGAAAAAAGATATCGAGCAGGGCTCCATGAGCGCTTTGAGGCACTACGGGACTGCGTGGAAACTTGGAAACAAGACCAGCAACAACAAAAATCATCTGCGTCTCCATCTCCAAGTGACGCGGATGGAACTGATGAGGACCATAACCGAAACGTACGCCTGAATAAGGCGGAAGTCCTGCAACAAGCGGTGGCATATATTAAGCTCTTACAAGAGGAGAATGAGGTGGTTATGGAACATATGAAGATGCTCATACGACGGTTTCGTGCAACAAAGCAGGCTTTACAGCATGGCCAATAGAAGGCAAACTCCTTGCCCACAAATAATTTTCACTATAATTCTCCACCATATTTTCTTTCTATCGCTTGAACTAGATTAAAAATATGATAATACACAGCCAGAATTACTAGCCTTGATTGGCCATCACAAAATACTCTCAATCCCCAGGTGACAGGTTAGTAGATACAATCAAGGGAATTTTCCTGTGCGACATTGCTCAATCTCTCAATCTTGGGACTTCAACTGTTACCTGAGCACTAAGAATGACATTGTATTATGGTTCTTTTGTAAAATCGCAAGCCTTGGAAAATCCTCCGGAATTTAGCCCCATACCCGAAGTATGTAGGCGGCTGGAAATGCTGCTGACGGCTGTCCAGATTATTCAAGTCTACCACCAGTTAGAAAGAGACGGTTGTATTGCAGAGATTATAATAATTATGGAGCATCCGCTAATAGGGTGAATAATACTCAAACCCCCCGGGGCCAGGTGTAGAACAAGGCAACCTTGGGAGATACCATGCCACTGTTGGGTTCATTGAGAGTAAGATATGATATTCGTTTTGATTTCGGCTCGATTTAGAAATAGGTCAGAATATAGTTCACCAGCGTAGCTACGACTCTCATTGGCCCAATATGTAACGAGTTTCCAACGTTGTAATCTCTAGGGTTTAATAGGGCTGACTCAGATCAGTTTACTGGATCCACCTGGGTGGCACGATGAGAAACGAAAGCTCTAGAGGCCTCGAACATTACCATAGCCATTTTTGGACGGCTCCTAAGTGAATATAGTCCTCTGGGTGATATTCGATGGTCCATGGGTGTACCGAATAGATCTGATTTGACTGAATCAACAAAATTATAATCTCCACTCTACTGCAGCTTGAGGGGGTACCCTTACGCTTAGGGGGTGTTACTTGCAGAGATGGGGGCGATTTAGTGGAGTGTACCGAAATAAGCACTTGCCGTTTTTTGTTATTTTTATTTGATTGTTCTGTATACTTTTTAAACAGGAAATGAGAACCCCAACTCGATTAGAATTCCCACGGAGAAAGAAGTACGAGTAGAGCTGGAAATTTGTCAAGGAGCTTATTGGCGCTCCTTGGCGATCCTTGGCTGACACTAAAACCCTAAGGTGCATGAAACTGCAAGCCTCCTAAGCCACTTAAAATAATCCATTCGTTTCTGATTAGTTGAAATTCTAGAGCTTGACCAAGATAAGCAAAAGGGGCCGGGAAAATCTCCGGTTCTTCTACGCCACTGGGGGCGAACGCTATTTATGCATCTTTCTGTACTCTCGGTGAGAGGCCCAATCGAAGATCTGGCCCAGAACCCCGTGTTCTGGCAGTGTCAAATCATCATGATTCATCCCTGGCACTTCATGAACTTCGGCCGAAATGGATTGGCGGACCGTGTCGCTTCCCCACACCCGGTGAAAATACTGGCAGCCTCCCTTGCCCACGTACCCATCGTTCTCTCCAAAGTAAGCCACGATGTGGAGTTTGTTGTTTTTGCCCACTTTGTCGGCTAACTGGGTCGCGAAAGTTTCGTAGTCATCACATATCCCCCAGGATACACCCGAACCTGTCTTGAGGCCAAGTTTGGCCTCGTCGGCGACCCCAGAAGTGTCCTCTTCGAAAAACATCTTGACAAAGTAATCACGCGTGGGTTGTTTGGCTGCCGAGGAGAGCCCGCACGTCTCTAACAAGGTTTCCTCGTCGGCAGTGACCGCACTGTCGGATTGTGGGTCTTTCTTGTTTCTCTTCTTTCCTTGGTCGGTCGGGGCTGACGAGGGCATGAGCCTATTCACCAGGAAGGAAGTCATCTTATTCCACCCGGTAACAAGCCCTGCAGGCATAGCGCTCGCGATGGTCAGCATCTTTGCGCCCGATTTAGACGGATGAACCCAAGGTGAGATAAGATGGATCGTAGGCTCCGGAGTCAAAATCTCCGGCAAATGGTAGACCGTGTTGAACAGATAAATGACTCCACTACTGTGCGCCGCAAGAGTAACCTTGTCAACATTGAGATGTCGGAGTAGAATAGGCACCGTCTCAAGCCACACAGGAATTCGTTGATCCAGGGCCACGGCCGTCGAGCCGCCGAACCCTGGCCGATCGATGATCACCACGCGGATTCTTTTCTGCTGGCACAGATGGTCGATCCAGAGCCCGTTCCAACGCCCGCCATACAATCCACCCGCAAAGAGTATAGTTGGGGAGTCGGAATCTTGACAGCCAACAGTAGCGTAGGTGACCCGTAGGGGCTTCTGAGTAGTCTTACTCTCAAATTTGAGACTATGATGGAACCGACTAGCGGCGGTGAAGGCGCAAACATCTTCCGCCGCTGTAGCGTTATCTAACATTCTGTGAGAAGGATTCAATTTTACCAGATTGTGAGGCAAAGTCTTCCTGATGGCTGTGTAGTGACCTTTTGCCTTTTGATGATAGGGCCCCCAGGCCAGAATGGGGGCCCTAAGCGCAGTCGTGCCACACTGACGTGCCACCAGCTAGGAGAGTAGCAACACCAACTACCTTGCCAACCATGGGGATAGTAATGAAAATGACTTGCTTTTTTGAGGGGAGGAATCAATCCAGTTCGTTCTTCGAAAATACTGAGATACCCCCACCCGGCAAATAATTCCACACGCTGCACTACGCGCCAACATGCACGCGGAAGTAGAGCGAGAACTCACCTATTTGCTGCTCATCGAATTATTGGCGTAGGTTGATAAAAAATTAATAGAACTCCAAGATGAGCCCCTGCTAATGTCCTTACTAGATACCAGTTTGCGTCGCCCGTCAAATGGATTGAGACGCAAGATGTGCTGCTCAAAGAGCTGCACATCCAGAACCTGCTGGAGGTTGGACCGGCCAGCACATTAGTGAACATGCTCAAACGCACCCTGCAGCATGATAACTATATCATACACGATAGCGCGCTCGGTCTAACTCGGAAGCTTCTCAGCTATCATGACCATGCCGCCGATATTCATCGCGGTTTCACCGCAAGCACAGATCTCAAAGCAATCACAGCAGAAGCATCACCACCTAGCTCAACGGAACCTTCTACTGTCGCTGCTTTGCCCATAGAGCCAGTGGCTCCGCCTTCAGCAGTAGTGGAAATTGCCGCTCAACCATCCATCGCCGATGCGCCCGTGCCCGCCCAGACAATTGTGGTCGCCATAATCTCACAGAAGCTCGATCGAGCGATGGGCAAAGACGACCTGCGCAAGTCTGTAAAGCAGCTGTGCGGCGGAAGATCGACAATGGAGAATGAGATAACCGGCGAACTTGAGGCCGAGTTTGGGAGTGTGCCCGAGCACGTCGAGAGCATCGAACTCCAGGCCCTGTGCGATCAATTACAGGCCTCACCTGCATTTTCTGGGCAGCTGCGCCGTATAACAACGGTCATGATCGCTAAGATGATATCTCTGAAGATGGCGGCGGACTTTCGCACGGCGCAGATCCGCTCATATCTCGAGAGCCGTTGGGGACTTGGTCCCGGTCGTCAGGATTGCATCCTTCTCCAGGCTAGTAGTCAACCACCAGCACAACGCCTAGCCACAGCTGCGGAAACACGGGAATTTCTTGACGTGATCGCGCAGGCGTATTTTGCGGAACATGGGTTAAATGCTTCTCCGGCGCCTGTGCCGCTGCAATCGGCGCCCGTCCCGACTTCCGTAGCGGGTCCTCAAGAGGTCGACACGGCGCGACAGTCAATCGAAATCGCCCAGCTTGAAGAGCAAGCCGGTCGCTTGGGCATTGATTTGAATCAGCGAGCTAAGGTCACCGTTGAACGGGATGAACAAATTCAATCCCTACAAGGGGAGATCGACGCGTTGATAGCCGAGTTAGGCGACGACCTCATCTCCGGCGTGCAGCCGCAATGGTCTGCATCACACATTCGTCGGTATGATTCTTACTGGAACTGGGGAATTCAGGATCTCTTCAACACGTTAGGAGCGGTTCTTCGTGGGGAAGTTGGCGTGGGTGAGAGCTGGACACGTCAACAAGTTCGATTGATTGCTAACCGCGCGTGTCCGCGTCTTCTTCGCGTCGTGCAATATCTGCATCGCCAAACGCTGGATGGCAAACTGGATGGAAACCTCCATGCGGCTTCCACTCTCCTCGCTAGCTTGACCAGCAGCGCAGAAAGACAGAGCTCGCCTACCATTCGGCCTTTTGCCCAAAACGTCCGTGAACGACTCACAGTTCCTCGCACCATCATCGGAGACGATGGAGAAATCACGTACGAGGAGTTTCCTTGTACATCAACTGAGATCCAACCTGCCGGCGTTACGCTTAGTATCAAGAATTCCCAAGGCTGGTGCGAGCAAGAGCAGGCGACCGAGATCTACACCCAGCTGTTGAAAGAAGCCAGTGGCGCCGAAGCTCCCACATTCGCCGACAAAGTCGTGCTACTCATCGGAGCAAGTCGCTCATCGATCGGCTCTGAGATCTTACGTGGACTGCTTGTTGGCGGTGCGGACGTGATCGTGACCACCAGCCGCTTCACAGCCAGCAACATCGACTTTTTCCGCGAAATGTATGTCTCGCACGGTGCGCGCGGGTCACAGTTACACGTCGTATCATTCAACCAAGGCAGTCATCAAGATGTCAACTCACTCATCGGGTGGATTTACGACGGACTAGGTCTTGATCTCGACCACGTCGTCCCCTTCGCAGCAATCTCTGAATCCGGTCGCGAGATGGATAAAATTGACTCACGTGCTGAATTGGCTCATCGCATGATGCTCGTCAATGTCTTGAGATTGATAGGTCGGGTCGCGCATGAAAAGCGCGCCCGTGGATACAACGGCAACGTTACCCAGGTCTTGCTCCCTTTGTCGCCGAACCACGGCACCTTCGGCGGAGATGGTCTCTACGCCGAGTCGAAAATCGGCTTCGAGCCTCTTTTTGCTAAATGGGAGTCTGAGAGCTGGGCGCCATACCTGTCTATTTGCGGTGCTTCGATCGGGTGGACCAGAGGGACAGGCCTGATGAAAGCAAACGATCTTGTCGCTGAGGGAATGGAGAAGATGGGTATTCGCACATTCTCGGTGGAGGAAATGGCGCTGCATCTGCTTTTGTTGATGAGTAACCCTGTCGCGGAGCGTTGCGAGACCGCCGCCTTATATGCAGATATTACTGGTGGACTCGGCCAGCATCCTAACCTTAAGTCGAAACTATCAGCACTGCGCGAGGAGATGCAGAAGATAAGTTCGATACGAAAGGCCGTCATGGAAGACCAGAAGCTCGATGCCAGCCCGGATCTAATGGAGGATCGCTACATTCCTGCGCCACCACCGCTCGCCAATCTCCAGCTAAAATTCCCCGCCCTCCCAGACTACGATACTGAGATTTGGCCCCTTTCTCAAGACCTCCGCGGGATGGTTGATCTCGAGCGCGTCGTGGTGGTCACCGGTATCGCCGAGTTGGGACCGCATGGAAATGCACGTACGCGATGGGAGATGGAAGCGGATGGTCATTTCAGTCTGGAGGGATGCATTGAAATGGCATGGATGATGGGCATGATCCGACACCATAGCGGTGAAATCAATTCTGAATACTACGACGGCTGGGTGGATGTTGAAGGAGGACACCCAGTCGCCGATTCAGAGGTCAAGAGTCGCTATGAGAAGCGAATCCTGGAGCATACGGGTATTCGGCTCGTGGAGCCAGAGTTGGATATTGGCTATGGGCCAGATCCCACACGCCGACAATTGCTCCAAGAAGTAGTTTTGACAGAAGACCTTCCGCCCATCTCTACCTCGAAGGAACTAGCGACGCATTTCCAGGCCGAGCAGGGCGATCTCGTGGATGTCTACTATCCTACCGATCAAAACAACGAAGATGATGTCCGGATGCGTCTCAGAAAGGGTGCCACAGTCCTTGTGCCTAAAGGCCTAAAGGTTGCACACCCTATAGCCGGGCAGATACCCACAGGCTGGAATCCAAAGAACTACGGACTATCCGACGAACTCATCGCCCATGTCGATCGTGTCACACTCTTCACCCTCGTCTGCGTAGCAGAGGCACTCTTTGCCAGTGGCCTCACCGACGCCTACGAGCTTTATCGCTATATCCACGTCTCCGAGCTGGGTAATTGCATCGGCTCAGGGCTAGGTGGCATCCACGCATTGAAACGTGTTTTCCGAACGCGTCATCATGATCTCCCCGCCGCGTCAGATATCCTCCAAGAAACATTCATCAATACAGCGCCAGCATGGGTAAACATGCTATTGATGTCAGGAGCAGGTCCACTTCGTACACCCGTTGGAGCCTGTGCAACAGCACTGGAGTCTCTAGACTCAGGCTACGAGTTGATTTCTACTGGAAAGGCAAAGGTTTGCCTCGTCGGCGGCGTAGACGATCTCGACCACGATATTGCCGTCGAGTTCGCCAATATGGGCGCGACGTCAGATCCCGCCAAAGAACATGCCCAGGGCCGATCTCCTGCTGAATCCTCTCGTCCTACCAGCTCAACACGCGCTGGCTTTGTGGAAACTCACGGCGCAGGCGTGCAGCTGCTCACCACAGCACGGCTAGCTCTTGACATGGGTCTACCGGTGTATGGCGTTATTGCGTGGGCCGGTACTGCCAGCGATAAAGCAGGCCGCTCCGTGCCAGCGCCCGGACAAGGCCTATTGACCAACGCACGCGAAACAACCGGCAAGTTCCGCTCGCCATTGTTGAACATGTCCTATCGACGTCGCCGCTTGGATCAGCGTCTCGGTCAAATCTCGAAATGGGAAATGGATGAAACTGCCGACTTGGCCACTGAAGACATGCCAGATACAACTCTGCTGATGGAGCGCCAACACTGGATCACCAACGAAGCATCTCGCCAGCGAAAAGAGGCGCTTGCTACATTTGGCCTTGACTTCTGGCACGGCGATTCATCTATCTCACCCATCCGCGGCGCTCTGGCTGTATGGGGTCTGACTGTCAATGACCTGGATTTCGCCTCACTGCACGGTACATCGACTGTGCTGAACGACTTGAATGAAACAGACGTCATCCAGAAACAACTCAGTCACCTGGGCCGAGAGGACGGACACCTCCTGTACTGTATTTTCCAGAAATACTTGACCGGCCATTCGAAAGGCGCATCCGCCGCGTGGATGGTGAATGGGTGCTTCCAAGCGCTTAACACGGGTACGATCCCCGGCCAACGCAACGCGGATAACATCGACGTCCGACTGAGGGCTCGTAAAGATCTGTTTTTCCCCAGCAAGACCATTCGGAAGACGGGTTTGAAGGCTTTCTCGGTGACCTCGTTTGGGTTCGGGCAGAAGGGTGCCCAGGCTTTCGGTGTACATCCGCGATATGTTTTTGCTGCTGCTACGGAAGAAGAGTATCATGCCTACTGTGTCAAGGTGCAGAATAGGCAGAAGAAAGCGTCGCAGGTTTGGGTTAAGGCTATGGCTGAGGAGCGGGTGTGCGATGTGAAGGATTCGCCGCCTTGGGGAGATGGAATGGAAATGGAGACGATGTTGAATCCTTTGGCGAGATTTTAGTATACTTTACCTTTTACTCTCAGATTGTTTAGCATAGTTAATTATATACCTAGTATTTCACAACAAATCTTTATCTCGACTGCCCTGATGTCGACTGCTCTCGTTCTTGCCGCTCTCGCTCTTGCTGTCGACGTTCTATTGACAATAAAACATCTACCTCCCGGTTTCGTCTGCGTTGGGCCGCTGCTGCCTGGCTCTTCTCCCACCAACTATCCTTCTTCATATGCTCCCTCAACCTCTGTAATTCTTCGGTCAGCAGCTCAGGGTAATGAGCTTAAACTAGTCACGTGCATGATGACTGTATGCACCTATATAGACAGGATAATGTCTGCCGGGTGGGGCCTTTCCTATCTGGGCTGCCGCCGCTTTATGAGGGCGCTCAGGCTCAGGATCAGTGCGTAGATGTCAGCACGGGCTCAGACTCAGTGAGCATGCTCTGGTTCGGTCACGTGCATGATGACTAATTGGTGGCGTGCTCAGTGAGCGAAAGTGCGCAGGATGTAGTTCAGTCCGACACTTGGGACGCCTTAGGCCACACTTAAAAGTCTTGGCATTTCTATATAACACGTGATAGTAATTAAACATTACACGCTAATACTCGCTAATATTTGTCATGTATTACGCTAGTGAGCCACAAAAAACTGGCAATATTTAAACCATGCTCTTTTAATGTATTACTATTGCATTACCATATACCTCCGCTATGGCCGAAACAGGTCTATTCCAGGATCAGATAGTGATATCTGACGATGAAAGCATCCTTCAAGATCAGATAGATATATCTGATAATGAAAACATCGATTATGACCGGGTAACGATACCTGATCAAGAAGAAGTACGTGCTCGCGTGAAATCAGGTCTTATTAATGCTTAAATAATATATTAGGGGGACCAAGAGAATTTTCTTTTGAACTTGACACATACAAAACGTAACCCACTACGTACTCGATTTATTCGATATACAATGGGTCTACCAGAGTATCCAAGATCAGATCCTGATGGTTTTACCTACATAGTCGGGGTTCCGGGTCAAGAGCAGAGTATAGTAAACAACGCAATCTCAAGTGTGAGTGACCAGCTATTAATGAACGTTTATTAATATATTATAGGTTCAATATAGCATGAAATCTAGCTATAAAACACGGGCTATGAATAGCCAGAGTAACTTTGGCAATATACCACTAAAGCATAGCTCCGCTTCTTGCTCTGGAGTGAAGCTCTGCCAATACGCCGATCCAGCGCTCCTAGATATGAAGCATACATATGTGTCTAACCTACATTGGGATAAGATAACTGCTCTTCGAAAGGGTATTCCTCTGGCTGAATCCGACCGAGTCAAGCGAAAGACATATTTGTGAGTAAGGAGAATATATTGTCTATCTATTATTAATGGATTTAGTAGAAAATATCTCACAGCAGTGAAGCTGTTTCAGGATCAGAGATCGTGCGGTATATCCTGGAAAGATACGTGTAAGCCGAAGTTCGAATGGGGGAGTTATTTAGTAAGTGATACTAGTCTATTTTAAAGGCATTATTAATACATTATTCAGGATAGACTTCCGCAGAACCCAGCTCAACCCGGGCTGGGTTGGGTTCTGGGCCGGGTTCTCCAACCTAGTACTGGGCCCGGGTCGGGATTTCTGGCCCAGTGCTGGGCCTAGGCCCCTAGCTGGGTTCATAAACAATGCAAACATGTCAAGACTCGTGACTACATAACTTGTGCAGTTTTTGGCTGTATTTTTGGGTATTTGACTTGTAAGCAAGGCCTCTTTCTATAATCACTGTTTAATTTAATTGTACGTTTAATAGATTCCTGAGGCTACAGGGCTACAATTCTGATGGCCGTCAGAAAATAGGGTTATTAAGCTATATTGCTAGTTTTTTTGACGGCCGTCAGAATATAGGGTTATTTCGAGGCTTTTTTGAAGATCTGTGAATTAGAGAGCTTTAATCGATTAACTAACTAATAGTACTCGAATATATCATTATCGCAATTCTTTCGCTTCCGTCCTAACGCACGTACTTAGGTGTTATTCACTGGCAATGGTACCTAGGGTTTACGTATAGTCGGCCCTTTAAATGCAGTCAATAAAGCTTTATCTAGCTCTATCTCCTTATCAATTGAAGTCTCCTATTCCTCGGTATCACTAATTGGCTCGATCTCAATGTCGTCGAGGTTATTATCCTTCTCTTCCTTTGCTGCTTCTAGCTCATTATAAGAGAAGAACTTCTCAAGAAGTCTCGCCTCTTATTCTTCTATGTCAAACCTTAAGGTGCAAAGAAACATCATTAAATCCTCGATTGTATAAGACTTTATTCTTCCTCGACAGTAATAGCAGATATCCCGAGCAGTATTAAACAGCCGTTTAACGCCTACCCCGGTTACAGGGAAAGAGAGGATATCACGCGCAAGAGCAGCAATTACTAGGAATCGCGCTTAGTTCTCTCGCTAGAACGTAAGAGGAGCAATTTGAATAGGATCTAATCCGAAGTTAGTTAGAATTCTGAAAGGCTTAGCTTAAACGTACCACTATCAAGATAACAAGTTATTTCATTAGTAGCTATGCTTCCCTAGGCATTGCTCCTATCTAGCATCGTATCAAGCTTCGATCCTAGCCGAGCTATTATTTAAGAGCCATCTAGTGACTGATCAAGGGCTAAAAGCTATTCTTGATATAGAATCAGAGCTTCCTAGAAGGATAAGCGGTATATGTCACGCTATTTCTGATCCTAGTCATTAGTAAGAAAGAACTTAAACTTATTCACGGGCGCTAGCATTATGCTGATTGCATAGATATGTCCTCGAATATTATCGGTTTGGGAGTAGTACTTATCAAGCTTTAACCGACTAGCTTCAAGTGCGTGAAGCATCTATTTCTTCTATAGCACACGCTTACGTCGTAGCTGCTTTATTGAACACTCAAGATGCTCAAAGAGTTTATTGTAGATCTTGAAGACGTAATGCGTAGTAATATCTCGAGTCTTCGATAGCTGAGTTATGTAGGCGAAAAATGGCTCAGTGATACAAAGAAGATAGTCAACTTAACGCCACTCGTCCTTATAGAGTAGTATCTCTTCGCAATCATACTCTGCACAAAATAGCGCAAAGATCGGACGTAGACGCTTTGCCCGACGTAGCATTAGAAAGGTTGAATTCCACCGAGTCCTTATATCTTGGATCGGTACTAGCTTCACGGTGCTTGTCTAGAGATTGTAAAATGTCTCCCGGCGCTAAGGGCTTGCGTTCACATAGATAGCAAGATAGCGGACCTTGTTCAATATAAAGGATATCTCACGATTCCGATACTGCGCATTCAAATAAGCTAATCTTGATTGCTTCTCTATCTATTTTGTCTTAGTTGAGTCATTCAGTGGAACTACTTTAATGCGATCAAGGAGCTGGTTTAGACTAAGTTGGATAACGTAAGCAAGGCATGGGATTCGAACAATGATAACACTATCTAATAGACCCTATTAGAGGGAATCAAATAATGTCTTATTGTTTAAAGCATTGTCCGTTGTTAACCCAAACACTCGGGCTTCAAGGTTATGCTCGATCAGAGTTTAAAGAAGAATATTGCTTAGATTCGCGCCTATATACGCACTATAGAGAGGTTTGAACCCAAGTAGTACCTCACGATATACCCAATCAATATCTATAAAGTAGCCTGTGATTGCCATAAACGCCTATGAGAATGGAGATATCTAGCAATCAAGTGCAATTGAGATTTTTGAACCAATAGGCAGTGTTCGAAGCATCCGCTCTTGCCGATCTTTAACAATGCTCCCTAGTCGGCGACGAATTGTATTAGTAGATAGGATGATCGGAGGTAACGGAGCGGTACGAGCCCGAGAAATAAGACGCTAAAATACTGGATGCTTAATAAGATAAAGTGGAAGCCGATTGAGTGTGATAAATTGTAGGATGTCTTCTTCCTAGGCTGCTTGCGAGAACGGTATTTCGATATCTTCCTAAGTTTAGTATTACTATTAGTAAATAAAATCGAATAAAAGGGTTACTCCGAACGTACTGCTTGCTTTAGAAATTTGGTAATCTATGATTTCTTTGTATATCCGCTCTTTAAATAAGCCGCTGTCTTAAGATATCTCTGTATTATCGATATACCATGATATTGTATTTTACCTATGGCCTTCGTATTGACTATATTAGGGTGCTCAAGAATATTTCTATAACGTTAGTATATAACCTTTAGTGCACTATCTATACTATGAGTAACCTGATTGTAGTGGCTCCAAATCTCCGAATAGCGCGTTAAGTCCTAGACAATCTTGCTCTTCCTCCCAAAGTCGGTTTGTAGCCACCATTCTACCTATTCGTTATAGGTCATTTTATCGTAGAGAATAAACGCCTTCCTTCGGTCGGGTCTAACGCGTTATAAGGAGGATAGGAGTATTGGCGGAATTGTTGGTCGGAGGAAGTTAGTGTTAAAGGGATCGATCGTATACTAGCTGCTAGAGGGAGTCGCTAGGTGGTTTAATAGCGCAAGATAGCTGATATTATCTATATCGCCATTATAAAGAGAGGACGCGAAGTTAGACTGCTGGTTTTGTAACATAATAAATTGAACAAGTGTAAAATAAGTGATAGAGGGGGAATAGAGGACTTACGGAGCAATAATATCTAATGACGGTGTGTAAATAAAGCAAACGCGATAGATCAATTTAGAAGAGGACCTTAAAATGTATCCGCGTGGTTTATTGGTTATATTACTCCACCTCCGTATCTATCTAGCCTAATAACCTAGTAAGAACCTAGAAAGCCTAGCAAGAACCTAGCAAAACCCTAGAAAGCCTAGCCAAAACCCAGAAAACCTAGCAAACCCCTAGTAAAAACCTAGCAAAAACCCAGAAAGCCTAATTCCCACCCTAGCTTCCACCTAAGATCGTCAAAAAGTTTTATCCTGTCTTACCTATCCGGGTTTATATAAGTACTTAAAAAGACCTACAATCTATATAATCTTACTAGCTACTAGTCGAATATAGTGGAATAATAAAGAATATAATTAGTATATATGATATATAAGATTTAAAGTAACAATACCCGAATTCTATAGTGGTTTTTTCAAGCATTCATAGGTATGCAAACACTGTATATTGTGAAATATATATCCGCACACTATATATATTTACACTATGATTTCTGACAGCCGTCAAAAAATCAGTACTAGGTTTTAAGATAAACCTTAGTTTAATAATTTCTGACGGCCGTCAGAAAACCTATAGTGTCGCCTATAGAACTTATCTACGTATATCTAATATAAGGTCAATAAAAAGGTCATAAGTCAAACACTATGAAAACTATAGCAAAGTCTGACCTTTCTAAGCCTAAAGAACCATAACTACTTATTTAAGGTTGATTCTACGCGTTTATAGCTTTAAACACACTCTAGTTATACTAGAAAAGTATGGTGGTTCAAGGTATAGATCAAAACCGATGTAAAAA